AATATACGCAGTTTTGAGGGCACAAATATACATACCTACATGCATATAATATTATTTTAGTTTATTATATTTTATAGTAACTTCTATGCATATTAACTGATTCTGATTTGCTACTTTGGCTAATTAAAAATATTGTTCATTCAGCTAAAAATACAGAAAGGTAATATAAGGAAAAATAACACTGAGAACAGGGCTCTAGCTTCAGCCATGTTGAGTCAGGAACCACTCTGCTCTGTCTTTCCAGTTTCCCAACATTCTATAAATGAACAGCATCATTAGAGTCACACACAAAGCTCATCTCCAAAAGGTTGGTGTTATCAGCTCTAGGAATGCTCTGGACATTTTTGATGTTAGCTTGATATCAACCAGGACTATTCTAGCTTTGATATGCCAATTTTCTCCTAATTGCTCAATAAACCTCCTCCTCTAATCAAAATGATAGAGAACCCACTGGTCTTACAGCTGCTTTTGGCCATACTATGAAATCATCAAGTGAATAATGCATTCCATTCTACATTGTTCTTCTACATCTGCCTATAACTCTCCTCAGTCTCGCAGCACCTTCTATCAGTTCTTCCATGGATTTTCTAGAATTTTTTTATTTTTTATTTTTTTCCTTTTATTTTATTTTACAATACCATTCAGTTCTACATAACAGCCACAGATTCCCTTGTTCTCCCCCTTCCTTCCCCCCTCCCCTTCTCCAGCACACCCCCCATTTTCACCTACTCCAGGACAAAGCCTCCCCCCGAGGACTGAGATCAACCTGGTAGACTCAGTCCAGGCAGGTCCAGTCCCCTCCTCCCAGACTGAGCCAACCATCCCTGAATAAGCCCCAGGTTTCAAACAGCCAGCTCATGCAATGAGCACAGGACCCCCAACTGGATCAGGCCCTCTGAATAAGATTTTCTAGAATTTAAAGGAATCAAATTGTCACAAGTATCAAGCTGCCGTATTGGTGTTAATGTTAGTTTTCAATTCAGGCTTTGTTTTCAATGAGGCCATTGAAATAGAAATGCTCAGGAAACACATTTAAAAGAGAGAGAGAGAGAGAGAGAGAGAGAGAGAGAGAGAGAGAGAGAGAGACAGAGACAGAGAGACAGAGAGAGAGAGACAGAGAATAAGAAATAGAAAGAAATGGTAAATGTTAAATCTAGCCACCACACTAAAATTATAATGAAGTTGAGTTTCATTAACAGAAGTTATTGTATTAAATCTAGCATTCTCGTTCCCTATAGCTTCACTGTAATTTCCTTAGAGAGAGATTAATATTATCATGGGACTTTGGTAATTCTTATCATGTTTATAGTGATTGGATCGTTCTCTTCTGTACATTTGTCTTAACGAATGCCCATAGGCAGTCTCCACGTGACATGGCGAGGGAGGGACACTTATACTAGGGACTTACAATGCAGCAGCATCCTTCCTCTGCTACCATTTGTGCTGAACATCTTACTGGAGCAAAATGAATAAACAAAAAGTGTGCTAGTCATGAGTTTGTGGATGCTGTTTTAGGGTGCTGGTACAAATATAGAAAAATGAATGTACAGCAGAACTTGATTCCAGTTTCTCTTTCTGGAAGAGATAGCTACTGGAGATTATTTTTATATTACTTTTATATATGGGAGGCTTTAGTGCCAAGGTAATCTTGAGATTTTTTTTACCCCGCTTGAACCAAATGGAAAAAATGTTCTGGTACATGACGATCAGGAGCCCTGTGAATGAAGGAACAAAAGGACACCTTTCTCTATGCATTCAGGCACTGCTTCAACCTCATCCTTTGTTTTCTCAAAACAAAGAAATCTTTTGAAGAAACTGTGAGTGATAAAAGAGGTGCAAGGATAGGATGCTTCTGTAGTTTGGAAAATGGTGTGCTGAAGGCTGATTTCGAGATTTCAGTTTCACTTAGTCCCTGGTTCTTCTCATCTCTGAGCAACAGATACGGTACCTTCCAAATAACTCAATACAAAAATTATCCTTTGCTTTACATCTAGTATCCACTAATGAGTGAGTACATACCATGTTTGTCTTTCTGAGTCTGGGTTACCTCACTCAGGATGATATTTTCCATCCATTTGCCTGAAAATTTCATGATGTCATTGTTTTGTAATAGCTGAGTAATACTTCATTATATGAATGCACCACATTTTCTTTATCCATTCTTTGGTTGAGGGGCATTTAGGTTGTTTCCAGGTTCTGGCTATTATGATAATACTGCTATGGACATAGTTGAGCAAGTATCCTTGTGATATGATTGAACATCCTTTGGGTATATGCCCAAGAGTGGTGTCACTGGGACTTGAGGTAGACTGATTGCCAATTTTCTAAGAAACTGCCATATTGATTTCCAAAGTAGCTGTACAAGTTTGCACTCCTGCTAACAGTGGAGGAGTGTTCCCCTTGATCCACACCACCCCCCAACATCCCTCTGCATATGGGAGACAGTTGTGTATGTAGCTTGGTCTGTCTGAGGCGCCTCTGGCACTGGGATCAGAACCTATCCTGGTGCATGAGCTGGCTTTCTGGAGTTCATTACCTATGGTTTGACACTTTGCTCACCCTTGTTGCAGCAGGGAGGGACTTAGTCCTGCCTCAATTGAATGCACCATGCTTTACTGAGTCCCCAGGGGAGGCCTTACCCTTTTGAAGGAGAGGATGGGGGCATGGGCCATGGGAAAGGAAACCTGGAGAGGAGCAAGAGGAGGGATGAAAGGAGGATCTGTGGATGGTATGAAAAATGAATAAAAACAATTTTAAATAAAAAAAGAAAATTAAAAAAATTGTGTACTATAAATTTTATAAAAAAGAACCATTGGAAATCTGATTGACACTTAGGTATATATTTCAATGATTTGCCTTAATATTAATAGATAATAAAGTAAGAGCCTAATGTTTACTACTAAAATTGGGACTTATTTACATTGGTATATTAACATTGAGTTGTTAGAATACTCTGCACAGAACACACATTCAGCTTTTCAGAGTTCAAACTGGCTACACATATGAAATATTTCTCATCTCAAAATATGTCTAATTTTCTCCCACAGAGAGTTTTGAAACAATAAATCATACCATTTATATTAGTTACTTTTATATTAGTGTGCTAAGACACTGTGGCCAACACATCTTATCGAAGAGTTTATTGAGGACTTATAGATTTAGAGAGTGAGTCTGTGACTATCATGGTAAGTGTGGGAGCAAGCACACAGGCAGGATACTGGAATAGTAACTGAGAGTTTGAATATTGAAACACAACCATGAGGTAGAGCTAACTGGGAGTGCTGTAGGCTTTTGAAAGCTGAAAGCCTACCCACAATGACACAGCTTGCATTAGTTAGGGTGACTACTGATGTGACAAAACACCATGACCAAAACCAAGTTGAGGAGGAAAGGGTTTATTTAGCTCACATATCCTGAATCGTAGTCCCCTGAGGAAAGCAGAGAGAAGAAATCAAACCAGGCTGGAAGCTGGAGGCAGAAGTGGACAGGAGAAGTACTGCCTGGCCTACTCCCCATGACTTGCTTAGCAAGCTTTTGTATAGCACACAGGGCAACCAGCCTAAGAATGGTACCAGCCATATTGGGCTGGGCCCTCCCAAATCTATCACTTATTTAGAAAATTTCCTACAGTCGTACTTACAGCCCAATCGTATTAAAGCATTTTCTCAGTTAAGATTCCCTCCCCACAGATGGCTTTAGCTTGTGTCACATTGACATAAAACCAGCACATACTTCCTCCAACAAGCCTACCTTCTTAAATCTCAATCCTTCTTAAATACTTCAACCAACTGGGGACCAAATATTCCAACATGAGTCTATGTTAGCCATTCTCATTCAGACCACACTACTTACCATTAAAAGTCATGATACTTCATATAAAAATAATGATCTTCAGCTTCTCTTACTAATTAATGTCCTGGATATGTGTACTTAACAAATGTAGTTTTAGCAGCATTTAATGATTGGCAGTTCTCTAAATGCCAGTATCATTTTATGTATAATATGTATAAATATATGTGTATAGAATATACACAGACTCTCAGTGAGTAGTTCTTTTAATATATATGAAACAATTTGGAAAGTTGGACGTATCAATTTCAGATAATGTTACACTATCTATAACCCATGACAGATGCAGTCATGACTTGAGACAGGTCACGTTATGCAGTGCAATGCACATTATCTTATCCCATTTTAGAGCCAATATAGAATTATTAAATTGAACAGTGATTTCCAGACACAGCAATCCAGAATCACATATAAACTCACAGCAATTCTGATAGTGACAGCATGCATAAGGACTATGCAAACTCCAGCCAGAAGAAGGTAAATACATAATCCTTTAGATGAAGAGCTATTAGCATTTGATAGCCTCTGGTAGAGGAAGATTCGGGTTTTGTTTTTTGTTTGTTTGCTTTACAATGGGACCTCTGATAGACATCATCTTTATACATCAGAACAGACATAATTCCAACACTAGTTGTGTGACAGAAACTGGATACAAAAGGAAAAAAAATAGTAATCACCAAGTTGGGTGGGAAGAGATGAAAATGATGTAAGGGTGAGATTTGAACATTACATGAAGGTCTCAAAGACTTAATAAAAGGATTTTTAAAATATTGAATTACTAGAAAGTGAATGTGTCCTCGTCTACTTATTTATTTTTGTGGTTATTGAAAATGTTTCAATTTCAATATACTAAGGAACATAAGACCTAAAAGGAATAAATTAATTTATATCTAATAAACATTTTCTTTTTATGAAAAAAATGTAATTCATTATAAGAAATTAGTAAATAAACTACTAAACTGCTTTAAATCCAATTTGCTTTAAATTGATAGGATACATGTGTATTCATCCATGCTACTAGAATACCAAGTATCATTTTGTCTAAGAAATTAATGTGCTTCGTGGTCTTTCTGAATGGCACGTATAGATGTGCATCAAAAAGCTTTGCAAGCTACATGAATCACTTAAAAGTCTTTTCAAGAGCATCTCACCAGAAGTTGTCTTCACTACTTCAGTGGTATTCCTCAATCCAACAAATGAAAACTGATACAGCCTCCATGATCTTGTGTCACCCACTTCAACAGAACTGCGCTTCCATTGATAAACAATCTCTTCACGTGGATAACCATCTATGATGAGATGAGAACACTCTCATTAAATGCAACAGTGGATGGCCACAGACAGCAACTACTTTGTTTGAACAAGTTGTAGATGCTAAGAGAGTCTGCACTGTAAGTCATATAAGCACCGGGACTGGAAGGTACTGCTGTGGGGAAAATTAACAGAATCCTTATCACACCTTCCTGGAAAAGACTGAAAGTAACAAAGTCAAAACTGACTTTTAAAAAATCACTTTTAATTGTGTGGAATGTAAACAATAAATCATGTTCTAATTGTTGTGTCTGTACTTTATATCACCTGAGATAATACAAAAGTGTCCAGTACAAAATGAAGATTAGAAACATAAGGTTGTGTTTCATAGTGAAGGGTTCCCAATAGTTCAAGATTATGAGAGTCATGTAGACATAGGAAACTATGAGAAAGATGCAATAAAGATATTTCTCCAGTTCCTAATATCATGACCACTTACACTAACAGATATCATACTGTTCAGTATCCTCCCTTCCTGCCTCTTTTGATCTGGCTTTTGGAAATAAGGATTGCTAAATAAGTATCTCATGTTGGCCTTGAGTCTGTCATCTGCACCTATCTGGTTACTAGAATTGCAGGGCTAGTGTGTGGCAGAGAACAAGGAGAAGAGGTAATACAGGATGGTATCAGGATGCAGTTTCAACTCAGTTTTAAGATACATAGAAATTTAAAATGAAAATTAGTACGTAGAAATGCCAATGAGAACACACAAAAGAGTGTAGAGAAGTAGAAGATCTTCACCAAAAACAGTATTATGTTGACAATCAGGGCAAAGTAGTGACTTTGAGTATGATTTCCAGAGCGATCATAGGAATTTTCTTAACTATTTTGTAAAATAATTCTTAATAGTGGTTACTACAATTCCTATATCATAGAACTGTTTGGCAGTGACTATTTCCTTAGTGGACAATATTTTATGAATTAACTGTGGACTGTCCTTTTCTCAGCTCTAATAGAGCAAGGTTAATGTGGGGTAGACTTTGCCTAAGATTGTGTTATCACACTCTTCTGAGTCCACTGAATCAGGGAATTGGAGGTATAGAATCAACCATTGTGCCATTTCTATTGAGTCCAGACCTGATCTTAAAGTCCTTTCAGCAGAGACTCTGGGCATCCATTGCCTATTTTCTCAAAGTTTCCCACTCATTGAATTCTTCTGCAGAGTTTGTCTTAATTGCCACAATTTGTAATTACAATGAAGAAGATTTCAAAATCAATAACATAGCCTGATGCCACTATGCAGCGTCTATGGTTCATTCTATTAATTGATGAGACAATCAGAATGACCACAGGTGACAAGGCACAATACAGAGAGACTATTACTTACAACTGGAGAACTCCAGGGGGCAGGAGTGTTCATCCATCGGGAAGTTGTGTAACTGCAACTGGCACTCGGCATCAATTGTCAGCCTAATTAGAATGACAATAAACAGACAGAGAAAAGCACTAACATCATTTCTAAAATCCATACCGGCGTTCTTTCTAGAACAATCTGACATTCTGATTGGTAATGCAGCATGATCCTCAATGAAAAAAAAATTTTCTATGTTCCAGGTAAAAATTATTTCCAAGCAAATATTTTCACACAGCAAGTAGAACGATTTAATTCACCTCAATTCTATTTATTCAAAATATGTGATTCCTTGTTTTGTATTTTATCTTATTTATTTTTACAAATTAATTGCACACACTGGAGATTTCTCAGTGAATATATTTAACTTATTTAAGAGAACAAACTGTTTTAGGAACTTAAGCACATTTAACGTTTGCATCGAAATGAATGCTGACAGTTCTCTGATCTTATCAGCTAATTAACACGAAGCCTTCTGTTGGCAAGAACTTGCTGTTTTTAAATTGCCATAGGTGGGTTTTAAAATACCTCTGTCATGCAATGGAATTGTGTGCACTTTTACAACAGAACACTATGAAGCCATCAAATAGGATATTATAGAGTAGTGGGCTACCTAAAGACACAAAAAAGAGATGATAAATGCACATACACTGAGAGACTGGGAAAGCCTTAACCAGTGAGTCTCAGTTTGTACACAATTAAAGCCTCAAGATGCAGAGTTTCAAGTCCTGGACTGAGACTCCAGGAGTCTAAATCTAAAGAAATCCAAATGCTCTGATCACTTTTGGAGATGCATGGAAAAAGGTCACACTGAAATGGTGATGATTAGTATTTTTCAGAATGTTCACGTCTGTGAGCTGTATTTCTTACAACCTACAATATAACTGCTTAAGTGATAAAGTTGTTATTTTATAAAAATTTAATTTAAAAGACTTTCCAATTAGCATAACTTTTAATTGGGGACATTTAAACTTTTTGTAGTATAATAAAGCAATTAATGATTTTTTTCTGTGCACCTTTAATTGCCTATAAAACTCAGATCAAGTGAACTATTTCTTACTAAGAAAGTGCTGGTAGGGCTCTGCTGTATTTGAACTTACTCAAGGTCACATGACCAGGGACAAGTCTCAGGATTTGTACTTAGGCTTATCACTCCTCACAGCAGGAGGATTTAATCATTGTCTCTTTATGATTTTTCTTCAAAGAAAAGCTTGGCTTTATTCACAAATGAGATTTTAATTAAATTTTATTTTTATTAGAATTGTCTCTCAAAATTAAAGTGATATTATTAAAAAAGACAATACAGATAGATTGCAGATATAAATATAGACTCAGAAATATATAGCTCTATAGACATGTGCACGTACATATATAGACACTTATAGCTCAGATAAGCAACTAAGCTAAAATCATCTTTCTCTATATTCATACATTATCTCAAGCCTTAAGCAGATAATAATTGGTACTTTTAGGATGTTTCCATAATTAAACACTGTAGTGCTTCCTCAAATTAATAAAACTCAAAAATGACTACATTAAAAATGATAACAAGACCTGAGGTAGGCTGAATGATTGCATATTTCAAAATCCAGAATGAGCTCTGATTTAAAATACAGACTTTGATTTTCACATTTCTCATTCTAGTCATTACCTTTTCAGTAATTTAATAAATTCCCAATGACTTTAAAATCAACACAATGGGTTACTTTTACAGTTGGAGCCATTTTTCACAGCATCTGACCTAACTCTGGTAAAGGTTTGGGCCCTTGTAAAATATTATGGTATATATATATATATATATATATATATATATATATATATATATAGTATTAAGAATTATAAAGCATAAATATATTTTACTGGTACCTATTACATGCTAAAATCTAGAGGCATATTATTTAAATTTTTGCTAATATACAAGTAAATTTTACGTCTGGCATACTTCCATATCATGCCCTCTGGTTAGCATTTTACCTATCACTCTTTTCACTTCTAACAAACATGTGGGGTAAGATTCTTACCTGACAGCTAAGAATTACTAGCTATAGTTCAAAAACATTAAAGAATGGGAGTTAAGTTAGTGGGAGGTAGGGAGAAGTGTACACAGCCCAGGAAGTAGTGGTTCCATCTTTCCTAATAATTTATATCTGTGCTCACTTAATTCATCCGAATAGAAAATACAACAAGGGAAACATCATGCTTGTTACATGGAAAAGAACATTGAGATAAATTCTAGGACCAAGTCCTTTCTCATACACCATCCAATAAGTTCTGTACATAGAAATTTTACAGTTGCCCTAGTTCATGTGACAGCAAGCTAGAAAACAAAGAGCCACACACTTCACTTTCCACCCATACTTCCTTCCTTCCTTCCTAAAAGCATAGGGTTCATGGCATTCTTTTATTTCCACCAAGTACTCCTTTTCCCCCAAATAATACCTTAAGGTGTAGAGAACTCGACCATCATTCCAAATTCTCAGCATCCTGTTGGGAGTGGTGATCCAGTGAGCATCAGCCTTTTTGGAGTTCCTGAAGAAAGTGTCTGGAATCCAGATTTTCCCCACCATATTGCTATTCAACCGGAGAACTTTAATGGTACTGTTAAATTTCAAACGTCTGTCATACCAGGTTTGGGCAAAAAAAATATCAATTGTATATTCCTGTTTTAAAAAGAACAGAGGATTTAGTGTTTGTGCTGCTCAGCCCCATGCTTATTGCCAGGATGAGATGACAATGTTGTTTAAGTTTTGAATAGACCAAAAGGAAGAAGGAGCTTTGCTGATGAGGTCACTACCATATCTGTCTTAGACACCAGTTGCATATGGTTTTGATTTCTGACCAGATAGCCAATCCCTGATAAATGCCTTCCTTCACACCCATGTAAAGCAGGGAGGCAGCTCACTATTGTTGGTGAGGGATGTAAGTAGGTGGTACCCTGGCCATCATTATCTCTGCTTCTTTGTCCTGGATACCGGTAGCAAACTTTCTGTCCCACTCAAACCCTTAGCAAGTATCTCTAAATGTCTCCTAAGAGACTAAGTGTTCCAGGTTTGCTATTGCAGAGTAAACCAAAGTCCTGAGCATTCAAGTGGCACTTAAATGGAGATTTGTAGGTTCAGCTGCTTCATAATAAAAAAAGGGTTCTAAAGATCTCAAATGGTTACTTTTGTAAGAATACAAGATATGCAAAATGCTTTGCCCCTGACAAATAGCAAACATGAAAGACAGCTTCCTAGAATTTATGGTTACTTATTTCATTTTCTCTAAAGCATATAAAAATAAATATCATACTTAATTAGCTACACAATGCTTTTATTTGTGAGTTAATTAGAATTAAGTAATTTTATTAAAATATTAGTGATGATTCATATACTGAATTAATCTCTCCCATGTTATTAAATGTAATAACAACAAGTGAATGCATTGATTCACCTCAAGAGCCTATCAGCTATAGTGGAGGTTGGTGACTTCAGCCAAATGTAAGCAACTACTGTGGGAATTCAGACCTGCATGCCTGGAATCAGAATACTGATCTAGTATGGCTACCACACTCACAGGTAGTCTTGAGAAAAAAAAAATACTTCTTTATTATTTGAGCTTTGTTATCCTCATTTTAAAAATGAAAAACTACTCCTAATATATGGTTATTTAATGCCTTCATGCCTAAAATACTGGGATGTTTTGCATTTTGACTTTGCCATCAGTATGACAGTGGATGATAAAAAAAATCCTGCAGCCATTGTGTGTATGAGTGTGTGTGTGTGTGTGTCTTTTGTGTGTTTCTGTCTGTGTGTGTGTCCGTGTGTGTCTGTGTTTGTGTGTGTCTGTGTATACCTGTATGTTTCTCTGTGTGTCTGTCTGTGTCGTGTGTGTGTGTGTGTGTGTGTGTGTGTGTGTGTGTGACTCTTCAGCAGTTTTTTACTCTGGGTCAGTCCTCTGGCTAAATGCTTTATGTCAATATACCAAAGAATCAAGTCTTATAACAAGAAATAATATCTTAAATTATATAGTATCCTCATGTTTCTGAATAATCATCCCTGATCCACGTATTACTTTATACCTTGATTGGTTCAAAATAGGAAAAACAGAACAAATAGAATCAACTTAGAGTTCTTAGACTATGGAAAATTCACTCAGAAGGGCCCCTCACTTCTCCAGCACCCTAAAAGCAAGAGACAGCAGAGGAGGCATTGTTTGTTCAGGACTACACACACCATCAGGATTCACTTCTCTGGCTGCTTCCACAGTGTTCTGGACTCTCCTTGTCTGTCCACTGTTTATGCCCTGCCACCTTATACACAATTTAGTTCTCTGCTTGAAGCTTTTTTAAAAAAAATTTAAGAGAACAAATAATTTTATGAACTATATTTTAGCTAATTAATGCTGAGCTGAGAAATAAAATGACACAATAAATGTGGACATATTTTAGTACCGAACAAAATAAAAATGAAAATGCAAAGGTGTAGAAACAGCATGTTACAAAATGAAGAGACAGTTCCCAGAAACCATCATTCTGATACAAAGTTAAGCCCTAACTCTGAATACACTGCCAGCAAAGACAACACAAATTGTACTCACACAGTCATTAAATACTAAGAGTTTTTGTCAGAATACTAAGAATGTAACAACTGAGAATTATTTTTATGATTATGTAAGTTTTACATCATTGAAGTTTTATATCACTGTGTATATATATCTGCAAAGAATAAATTTATTCTAGCACAGCAAATACCAATTATCAATCATAATATCACCATAATTTATTATATTGTTATACTATATTTTGCTTGTACTGAAATAGTATTTTTCTGCTATGTATTTTAAAGGCATTTATGTTTATTTTATTTTACCATATTATTTATATTAAAATATACTATAAGTTTATTCCCTTATATTGTTGTGCTATAAACTAAATGAAGTTTTTCAAATCAGATTTACACTGAAAATATTATAAATATGAATATTTCTCTGAGAAATATTTCTAGTTTGAATCAAAGTATTGTTCCTATAGCATTAATCTTCAAAAAAGTTTCATATTTTGTTGTAGGTGGTACTTAAGAGGTATACAGTAATTGTTGGATTAATATGATATTACAATTATACTCATTAATTTCATTTCTAACCATGTTTGATTTTTATGACAAAAATCCTTAAATTTTTAACAGCTTCAAGTTACATGAAAAAATAGGTCTTTAAGGTTGCCTTTTATTTGCAAATTCTTGGTTCCCTTTAAAAAATATATTCCTTATTATTTCAAAGCTAAAACTAGAAATTAGACTATGAAACTTACCATATTGATAGCATTCACTGGGCCAATGCTGTTCACATACATATCTGTGTGAATTAATGTTGGTTTCACTGCAAAGAAAATTATAGGAATACGTGTTTGTTTGGTTTTTTGTTTGTTTGTTTTAACCAGGAACAAAAAGACATTTTTTTAGTCTGTTTCTTAGCCTATGCTCCTTTAGCTGCATTAGAAATGGTTTACTCAGGACTAATTTACTACTAGTTGATATTTTAGATTTTCATCATTTCTTTCAAAGACATATCTCTTTTTTAAGCATGTTGTTTCAAAAAAGCAAGTGTGATAGTTTTTGGCTTTTCTTTGTGAGAGTATACAAAAGTAAAGAAATCAAAAAACATTCTTTCGGTTTGCGTTTCTATAGCGTTCTCAAAAAATATCCTTAATTTTATCAATTTTCCCCTCCAAGATCTTGAATCTGTTTGTACCTGCTGACCCCATTTGATTTATGTGTATTGAAACATGATTAATGAGCTTTTGAGGAACTATGTATTAGAAGTTCACAGTAGACATAAATAACAATAATGCAATGTTGTTCTTGCTGATTCTTTTATCACCACTTTGCCCTCACGCATCTCCAACCAACATCAAATCAAAATCTTTACTAATGACCTACTGGATGCTGTAACTGTGTGGATAGTAAAAGGGAAACCATCAAGAAGTCCATTATACAACAATCTGTCAATCAGAACTAATATTAAAAATAGGTGGTGTAACAGTCAAGATCAAATTAATGTGATCTATTTTAATGTAGCATTTAATGAGCAGAAGATACATGAGATCGTTCTGGGCTTTAATTCAAGCATACTTGTCTCATCTTTATTCATTTTCCTTGAAAGTACCATGCCCAAATGCTCTGTGGCAGATGGAATTCTTCATCAGCACTGACATCCACACCCTTTCCTTCCTGTGAGGGAGGTTACTTTGTTGTCTCTTGACTTTGGAGTTGGTGAATCTTACTTGGACACATACTATCTAGACAAAAGTGAATGTGACAATCCTAAGCCCAAACATTGAGCCTCATGATGTTTCACCTCTCTTGTTCTTTTTTATTTCCATGGAAAGGATTCTCACAGCTCACAGAACATGCTGGTTCTATAGTAGAATGAGAGACCATTAGACCTAGTTTGGCTTAGCCTAGGTTAGCCCATCCCCCACTATGGTGCCAAATACTACTTATTGCAAATATCACTGAAATTTTAGCCGGTTGTTACATAGTTTTGTGTACCCATCTTCTCTGCTAGTCTTCATCAGAAGTTTTTATAAAACAACAATTAAAAAAAATAAAGTCTTTGAAATATCCAGGAAAATATCTAGCAGGTCTGTAGCTTCACCATTGCTACCCTCAGGCTTGAATGCTATTTATATACCCTTTCTTTATATTTAAAATTATAGGATTATAATTTTAATCTTCCTGGCTCTTGAAATATAATGATGTGTTATTCTCATTAAGTAACTAGGGCTGGTGTAGCCCCTCTTCAGCACAGAATCCAAAGCTTCCTCATACCTCCTATATCAGGACGAAGTTTGTTGTCATACCCTTCCAGTAGGTTGTTTAAGATGACAGTGACGTCACCCTCGGGAACTTTTGGAGTCAACACCCATGTTTTATTAGAAGCATAGTCTTCATAGTCATCATCTGATTTTTGGCTAGTGAAGCTAAGAAAAGAAAAATATTGGTCACTAAACACATAGATTACACCTGAGTTGACTTCTACCACAAACCAACAAGAGCAAAGGAGGGATAAAGCAGGATTGTGGGAGTCTAGGAAAAAGTTTACTTAATGGTTAATCGAACCAATTAAACTGTACAGATGGAGATTTAAATGTATTACAATGTTTCCTCCAGTTTTCCAGAGTGCTTTGCCCTCCCGTCCATAAATAAGCCATGTGTTATCTTTTATTTTTGCCTTTCCATATTTGATGTTCTTCTCACCCACCTGCCCAGCCTCATAGAGGACATTTAAAAAAAATTGTGAACGTGATATTTTAACTATTGTAAGACACCCTTATAATTCAGCCATAATGTCTCCTTGCTCCTTAGAGAAGTTAACTTACTCCAACCTATTAATGAAGGTAAGAGAGTAATAATTAAAGTCACTCCCAAAACCCTCAGACAGGCCCCTCCTTCCCCAACTGAGCCACTAAGGAGAGTTCAGGCTTGCTGCCTTCTCTCCCCCCAGGCTACATGGTGTGTATTTTTTTTCACTTTCTTGCACTGAAGGTTAGAGTTGTTCATTTATCTTTGGTTGTTAAGAAACTGGTACTATGAAGAAAATGTAGTTACTGACTTTAATTCACCCTTTGTCACAGCAATATTAACTAAGCTGGGTGTACTGTAGTCATTGGATTAAAATTAATTGCTTAGACTCATCAAATAGATTCAGGATATCCTGACAGTCAGTTTTATATAGTGAAACCAGTTGGGAAATCCCTAGGAATTGGTGTAGAAGTGAGGAATGGATTTGGAAAATGAATTGAACTCCATGATTTATATCTTCCCTTGCTCCAAGTTCCAGCCCCTCCCCATCACATGCAAAATTACTACATTTTTCGCCGTCAATAAAATGTACGTTCTTACCAAACCTCCCCCTTTCACTTTCATCAGGACTCCAGAAATCTGTAGTCAGGATGAAATTTGAGGATTGTGAAAAATTACCATATAAAAGTTCACACCCCATCCTCAGCTTCAGTTTTATTTTCCTAATTATGTTGCAGAATGGATATTATTGGATAGCAGATTGCCACTTTGCCCTGAATGTATATATAGTTTTTAGGAATTTTTTATTACATTTATTTATTTGGAGTTATTTACTTCGGAGACAGAAAGAGTGCCATGACCCACCAGTGGAGGCCAGTGGTTATGAGAAGGTCAGAAAGCAATGCATGGTACTCTGTTCTCTTCTTCTATCATGTGGTTCCCAGGGGTCAAGCTATGGTCATGAGGCTGGGTGTCAGAACTCTGTACCTGCTGAGACATGTTTTTTTCCTTATGCCAAATTTTACCTTTCCTCAATCATATCAATTACTGAAATATATATACATACAATGTAGAAACCGTAAATATATATGTAGTTTAAATATATATGTATATATATATTTGTACATAGTACGTACAATTGCAGAAGTGTATAGGCACATAAACAAATAGAAAGAAATAGATGATCAATATGTAAATGTCCAAAATTGTACGAGAATGGTGACTGAGTTGTTAATGTTAGAAGCAAAAAAGATTGAAGGTGATATTTTAAGAGTGAATACTAACTAGTTAAATTAGCTTAGAAAGCAAGAACAGTAATTTTGCTATTTTTATAGCTTTGGAAAATAATATCTAAAATTAAGTATTATGAAAAGTCTTATAAGAGTGCATTAGTTAGTAAACTAATGTGTGTGTGTGTGTGTGTGTGTGTGTGTGTGTGTGTATTTCACATGAAGTACTTGATTGAGTAGACAATGACTCTCACAGAAGACACAAGTTATTAAATGAAAATCATAATATAAGCCATAGGATATTTCCTTACACATTACTGGTCAGGGATACTTCTGAGGTCTCCAAAAACAACAAAGGCTATCTTGGTTACCCACCATAGGCACATGATAAAGACTCTTATGGCTAAAGATACTACACATTTTACCTGTAAGACATAGAGAAATCGATGTCAAACCAACTGGGAAAATTCCTTCCTGCTGGCTAACTTTTATAGTGTCAGAAAGGGCTATGTAGTCTGTTAAAGGAGAAAAGACACCGAGGGCCTTACCTATCACTGAGTATTGTATACTGCAATACTGATCTGCCATGCAAGGTATGACTACTGGAGCAATATAAAATGTGCCTATGTTGATTAGTTACTCTCACTGTGTAACTACATGCCTTCTGATGGATTTGTGGCCTCTTCCTCCAGGGGGGGAGTTCATGCTTGGCACCATAATCCTGGTCCAAGGCCCATTGCTGGGGAAGTTACAGGCTCTAGAGTGGAACCTGTTATTGTTATTTTCATAAATTGTCCAACTATTTCTTAAAGATTGTATTTACACCCTCAGGACTGGGCTGCTCTCAATTTTGGTCAGAGAAGTTTAGCAGTGGTTAGTGCCGAGACTCACAACAGGTCAAAAAATGGAGGAAGTGGTTATGAGTGTGTGGCTCTGAGCACATGTTTTTCAACAATCTTCCCAACAGATACCATTCTCCTGCCAAGGTATAATGTCACTGGAGAAGAGATAAAAAGAGGAGGTGAAACAAATGTGAAAGCTGGAAGATGGGAAGCTGTAAAATATCTTCTGGAAATGACGTGGCTACGGCTACCCTGAGCTCGCAGCAGCTGTAGTTGTCTACAGAAGATCGAGCCAGCCAAAATGCTAGCATACACAGGGGAAGTCTCATGAAGCCTCACTTCTAACTGTGGTGTTATTGACAATTGACAACTGCTGAGGAAGAATCATTATTGTTTGGGGATGTGGCCACTGGTAGCTTGTCTATACTCCAATAGTTGCCCTCTTATCCATGGGCATAAGAGTAAAACTAATTAGACTTAATAGGCAGTTATTTTTTTAAAAAAAGAACAGAACATGAAGTTGGTAGGGGAATATATGTGTGTGTGTGTTGGGGGAGGCTCCAGGGTGAGAAAAAGGAGGGGATGGTGGGTGGATATTATCACATATTATAGCATACATATGTAAAAGTCTCAAGCAATAAATTTTTGAAAGTATGGAAATGATATAACTAGAATATATTCATGCACAAAATTCTTAAACAAAAATTTATAAAAGATAAAATAAAGTACATGGACAAAGCATCTACCAAAGACACCATTTTACATCTTGTATTTTAAGGAGCATAGAAGCTCCATACATGCATCCCTTCCAGAGTGCCTATACTGGATAGGGTGGGCTGGCAATGTTCCAACCACCTCTCCAAAGAAAGGCCTCACTGCAGCCTAGACTAGCTTTCTGCTAGGAAACTGCCTCTGGGGCTCAATTCCTCATTTCACCAAAGCACTGCTGAGTACTGCCTAATGGAGTTCTAATCCTATGACCCAGATCTTACTAGTGTGAGGGGGTGGGGTTCTAGTGGAAAAAATGTTCTAGTTATTTAGTTCATGAAGAAAGAATATGGTTAGTCCATCAAATGTAATCATGATAGTATTTTATTACCTTAATCATTCATGCAAAAGGGTCTTTTAAATCTCTCTCTCTCTCTCTCTCTCTCTCTCTCTCTCTCTCTCTCCTCTCCTCTCCTCTCCTCTCCCCTCCTCCCTTCTCTGTCAGACATATGGATTCTATTTTCTTAAATATAAGAAGATGCTGATTAGGTGACCTAATTTACTTATGGAAACTTCTCATGCAGATAAATATATATTCCAAGCACAGTGGTACCACACTGCTATAATTTTTACTGTCTGGCAACTAGAATCAAAAATTCAGTTAATGTAGAAATAAAATAGACTAGCTTAGAAAGAAAGAAACTTTCCTGAATTTAACTAAAGATTTTCTTAATGTCATCACTTTCCTACCAATTTATGAAACAAAATCTAATTGATCATTAAAAATAAATACACCAGTGGTAGTTTTCTCTCCACACTTCAGAATACTCAAATAGACACTAAGGAAAGTTAAAATACAAAAAAAAATGAAGATCATATATTCAGGAGACAGGTAAATCTGGTTTACCTTCTATATTCATTCTTGCTTTATCACCTGGGAAAATTTACTCAAATTTAGAAAACTACAAGTTGTCATCTTTAAGCATGCTCATATTATACTGTATAAGATTAAGATGCTTATTTGGTGTCTAAGTCCATCATAATTATTATGATGAGGTGACCATTGCTAGGTTTAACATAATGGCTCCAAACATGTAACTAAAAGCCTGTATTGGTAGATGCATTTACCTAACATTACTTAAGAAGAACCAAAAACAGATGTTTTCCAGGAAGAAAAATAATGAGCCCCTATATTATAAATAAATGAGGTTTAGCTCCTCCACAGTTCTCCCAGCTGAGATCTAAATTAAAGGGGATGATGCATAATCTGGGATGATTTCCAGATTTGTCTAAAAAAAAAAAAAAAAGCAAAAAAAACTCCCCTCATTCATGGTAGACTGTTTCTTCTGGTCTTTAGAGGTGGGGCTTCTGTATTTACAGAGGACTATGTAAGGATGATAATGTCTGACCAATAAATGAGGCATCCTGTGGAACTGTGAGCATGCCTGGGTAAAAACAGACTGATAATGATTTAAGAAAATCCATTTAACTGCTATGTGGCTTGAAAGTAAACAAACCTGAAAATCTGAGTTCAAGAACCAGTTAGAGTCCCCTGGGGAATATTTAGAGTTATTATTTTTGTAGTACTTTTTAGTTCAAAAAGACTTCCTCATAGAGGAAATAGAATGCAATCAAGATTATTTTTAAGTTAATTGATCATAATTTAAAAAGCTCCACTTGAATGAAAATATCCAAGGAACAGTGTCCACAACCTTCAGTCTTCTCATTTCTAAAAGCTTAAAGAGGTTGCCACAGGCCATCTGGCCAAGAGTTTGGACTAGTAGTCTAAAATTTTTCAGGGGATTTTCTAGAAACACTGAACTCTATGATCCATTTATCGTCATAAGTCAGGCTCTTTAACAAACTCCATAAGCATTGGAATTTTTTTAATAAATTCAT